AAAGCTCCAGACAAGTGGAATCACAATGGAATTTCTTTGAGTGCTTCCAAAATACTTTGGTGATCATGGCAATGATGATGATGATGATGATACCTCATTGAGCATTTACCACATGCCAGGCATTGTTGTAGGGATTCTGCATATATTAACTTGGTATGGGAACACTCAGAAAGCCAAAGAGAAAATCTGAAGAAAACAACTTAATCCCAAAGATCAGATCACAGCTGAACATTATTCATTTTATTTTATTAAAGATTTTATTTATTTATTTGACAGAGAGAGACACAGTGAGAGAGGGAGCACAAGCAGGGGGAGTGGGAGAGGGAGAAGCAGGCTTCCCAAGGAGCAGGGAGCCTGATGCGGGGCTCCATCCCAGGATCCTGGGATCATGACCTGAGGTGAAGGCAGATGCTTAATGACTGAGCCACCCAGGCACCCCTATTCAGTTCATTTTAAAAATGCAAAGTATTTCTTTCTTTATTTTAAATGTCCAAACATAGTAGGACCAACTGGTTGAACATTAAATGGCATTTAGTTTGATTCTCATATATGTAAGATATTTAATAATTTTAAAAATTATTTTCATCTTGCAGTGATATGAGAATATTTAGTTTCTTGGTTTTGTTAAATTTCATTGGGGTTTTGGCTTAGTAAAGTTTTAGGAAAACTGGTGCTTTCCAAGTGCAATGGGTCATGACGTTTTATTGTTACTCTACTGTTTTCTGTTTTAGTTTATGTAAAAGATGACGATGACAAGGAAGAGCAAGGTTGGCACTCAAAGTCCTACGGCACAGCTCCATGTAGTGAATGGCTGGCTGGCTGTAAGCTTTTGAAGGTCTGGACTGTCCCCGTCCCTGTCTCTGTATCTCTAGCAGCTAGTGTAGTCCTGGCATGTGGTGCTCAGTAAGTGCTTGTAAATTAGTGCAGACCAAACTGTTGTAATTGAGTTTATGTAGGAGTTAATAATGGAGTCAATTTCCACCCCCAACCGCCACTGGACATTGAATTAAAAAGAGTGTGGTTCCTGATGTTACATTTCTTCTGGCCTGGGTGTCATAAATCAAGTAAATGAGTCAAGTTATTCATTCCAAGAAAAGAAATCTAGATAATGTTAAATGCTAAGACAAATGTTAGATGAGTAGTCATCTGATTTCTTTGCAATTGTCATCTGATCCCATATCATCATCCTGACATCATTTTGTTTTATAAAAATGTAACTATGCATATGAAAATATGCTATGTCTATGATGTGATTTGATTGTATTCAATGGAGGACTTCTTGTCAACCAGGACCCCCCAGTCTATTTGTAGTAACAGGCAAGTCAGCGTTCTTATCGTATCCTCTACCTCATTGTATGATCTTGGGGAGGTTCCTTAGTCTATTTTTGGTTCAGTTTTCTCATGTATGGACTGGGAATAATTACTTTGTAATGTTTTCTATTAGAGAATGATCTTAAAAGATCCTCAGCTAAAACTGTTTCTAATTTAAACACTGCAATTACTGGTGCTATAAAGTACAGGATAGAATCAGAATTGACAAACATACAATATTATTTCCTTTAAAATATTTCTTCTGCATTTTGCTTAACATTTACACAAAATGTATCATAAAAACAGATTTCTATTTTTATTTTTACTTTTGCTAGAGGACAAATGCTTGAGTTATGGATTTCTAAATTTATCATAATAAAGTAGGATGAGAGCAAAATGGATTCTAATACCTAACTATTCTGATTACTAGTTTTGAGGCCTCAGACAAGTTACTTAACCTCCTGAAGCTCAGATTCCTTCATCCGCACCACAAAAATAACATGCTTTACCTCCTAGAGTTGATGTGTTTTTAAAAAAAAAAAAGATAATGAGGGGGGAGGGGGAGAAAAGATTATGTCATATGCCTAGTCTTCAAAAAAATTTAATTATATGATTGCTTCCTAAACAAATGATGTTGAGGGTCTGAAAGTCCTGGGTTTGAACCAAAAGTCTATTTTTTTTGAAAGATATTTAAAATAATGCACGTTATTAAGATAAGGTAATGATACACAGTTTTGTAAAACTAGGGAATGTGTTCTTATATAAAAGCTTAAAATATTCACCTGTTCAAATGAAAGTATTTTCTCCTAGTTGTAAAACTAAACAGTTAAAATATAATTCTAGAGCCAATTAGGGAAGATCTTTTTCAGGTTGTTATGAAGGCAGCTAATCTTTTTAATTAGCAAAGGAATGAGGGCAGGGAACGTGTCTATTTTGTGCACTACTATGTATCCAGCAGCCATCCGAGTGCCTAGCCATAGTAGGTGCTCAATAAATATTTGTAGAATATCTGTAGAATATTCATAGAGAGTGTACAGATTTTTGAATCGGAGAGATTTGGTTTGAATCGTGGCTATCCATTGGAATAATGATAGCATCTATCTCCAAAGGTTGTTAAAAGGATTGAAAGAGGTAACACATGAGAGGTATCTGGCATATATATTAAGATACGTTTCCCTTAGTGTTGTTCCTACTGTTGCTAATTTCATCATATTACATGTTAAGATCAAATAGTTCTCCAAATGACCAGATTAATGAACCACCATATGTATTCTACTTACATATAGAGAGACCATCCATGTGGTAAAATCCTACTCAGTAATTCTTTGGCTGATATCCCATCAGAGCAGCCGAACTGTTCAGGAAAAGTAATTCCTGCTTCAAGGCTTTTCTTAAAAAAATCTGCATTACTTGTTCAGTGTTTCTGCATGTGGCTTTCGGTTGCCTTTTTAGCTAGTGACCCTGGATTTTAACTAATGAACTCCAGCTGTTCTTATTTTGCCTTCCATCCCTTCTCATTTAACCTCCTGTCTCCCTAGTCTCACATCCTTAAAGTTCTTACAGGAAAAATGGGACAGTGCCAAAGTTTTCAAATGAGGCCTCATCTCCTCTTGAGGGGAGAGGGCTTCTTTAACAAGGGCTCCCAGCTTTTTCAGTGATGGAAAAAGAAACATTCGTTGTTGGAAAGTGGATGCCTAACAACCTCCAATGTGTCAAAAATCCTCTTGTGGTTTTTAATATTATACAAGCAAAGCGTTCACGTAAGGTAAGTCCATAAAACAAACCCAGGAAGTCCACAGTTGAATACTGAATGTAATTGCAAACACCTGGGAGGGAGAGGCAATCCTCAGTAAATATGCAATAAAAGAAACATCTACCATACAGAACAATACAGATCCAGCTTTTCTGAACCATGCTGAGAGCCATCTGTTAGCAAAACTGGCAAAAATTTTTTATTGCTAAGTCAAATGTCAACCTGAAAAACTTGGCTGTGGGCAAAAATCTGAGTGTGGCAGGTCTGAAGTAATAGGCAAACTCGAATGCACAAAGGCAACACCATGAAAATGCAGTGAAGCTGGGCCAGAGACTCTCCCATTATACTGGTGACCTGGGGATTTCTATTATGTTCAGAAATACTGTTCAACCTATCCACACATCTCTTTCTAAATCTGATCATACGTTCATGGGGACCACTAATAAGTACATTAGTAAATGCAGCTTCCATTATATTAAACACTTAAAATCTTGCTTTCCTCCAGAATGCACCTGATCCTACCAGGATGAATCCCCACCTAACCTGACAGCCATTTGGCCCCTCTACTCAAATTCAAAATGACATATTTCCCAGGGGCTATAAAAGACTTTTGAAAATGGCATCAAATTCAGTTATAAACTCATTTTCTAAATTGCTTTTTCCATGCCTCTTTGCATAACCCATCCTTCCAAGCTTGGTTCAAAATCTACTGACTCCATTAAGCACACTGAGACTCACTGGTTCTCATCTTAGTTTGCATCTTTTTTTTTTTTAACCTCCATTTTAACACTTGTAACTTGAATCATCTGCTCTGTTAAAACTGAAAATAATACAGAGCAAAGATCAGGGCTTTTTCTTCTCATCCTTAACAAGGCCCAGCAAGATGCTGCGCGTATAGTATGTGTTCCATAAAGAGGGGAAGATAAAGTAGTTAAAAAGGGAAGAAAATAAAAGGGAAGCGACATTTGTTTGTTTTTGCTAAAATGGATAGCAATCCTATCATTTTATTTTAAATAGCTCATGTAAAAGGTTAATAAATTGTATTTTTGATGATTTGTTTTTACTATATTGCCTTCTTGATTTTTTTTTTAAACGTGGGGCTTGAATGAAAGACCCTGAGATTAAGACCCAAGCCAAAATCAAGAGTCAGATGCTTAGCCGACTGAGCCACCCAGGTAGGTGCGCCCTTCTTGATTTTTATATTATAAATTATTAGTTATCCTGATAGTGAACAAGACATCATTAAAGGAAAGAAACAAGAATGGAATAATAATAGCCAATATTTGTTGAACTCTGAAAATGCGATACGTGCTTTAGATACATATTCTCATACCAACTCAGTAGAAGAGGTACTATGATCCTCTTTCTGCAATAAATGGGGTCTAAAACAGGTAACCTAGTCTACTCACGGTCACACCATAGTAATTGGTAGATTTAGGATTCAAACCCGAGTCCATCTGATAACAGATGCCTCACCTACTTACTATAGTGCCCAGGGTACAGAGAACATACAGAGACGACACTAAAAAGTCATGCCTTCCCAAAGAGTTCCTTAAATGCTATCTAAACAACTTATGATTTCCAGGTAAATTACTTACTGAGAATTTGTGTGGGTGTGTTATTTTTTCTCTTCTATATGGATTTGTCTGGGGTAGCCTTAGCACTTTAGCATGGGACCAAACACATAGAGGGCATTTAGTGAATACACATCGAGTTCATAGTCTTGGGCAACTAATATAATAGTTTTGAATCTTAATTTCCTCAAGAATAAATAATAAAATGATAGTATAAATATACTCTGAAAACCGTTAGGAAGAATACAGTTGCAATTATAATATTACTTCTAGAAATATCAAAAGCCAGATGCCGAATGGATAGACTCAATGTATTTTTTTACCAAATTGAGGGCTTGTAAAACAGATCTCTTTGTTCTTACCTTCCCGAATAGCTGTAAATGGGACTCCTTCCTCTGCATTCATGCTGATGACTTTTAGAGCCACTAGTTGTCCATTTATCCTAGAAGAGTCGGGATGGGGGGGGGCACACATTTATTGAGATGGTTCACAGCAGTTCATAGCAGCAGTTTATGCTAAGGACAGTGTAACAAAGTGTAACCAAAGCAGCTTTTCCTTCCAAATATATTCCAGCATATGAATCCACAATGTTCTCAAAATAAACAGTTTTAAAAAGTCATATGTATGTATATCAAAATATTTTCTTTCTTTTTACCAAAGTGATAAAACACTGCAAAGCACAGAACCCTGCCCCTCCCCCCACCAAATCCAGCCTCATAATATTTCGATGTATCTTGTCTTTTCATTTCCATTTGTGCACTTTAAGCCATCCTTATTTTCCATCTGAATTGTTGTCGTGACCTCCTAACAGTTTCCCTACTCTCATGTCTGTTCCCCTACTGTCTTCTCTCAACAGAGTAGCCCAGGGCACCCTTTCTAAGGGAAAGTCAGAACAAATCACTTCTCTGCTCAAAACCCACTGTTAATCTTCACCTTTCACTCTGAATGAAAGCCAAATTCTTACAACCATCTCCTAGGTGCCCCCTGATCTGCCCAGCCCTACTATTACCTCTCTCTCTTTATCTCCTCCTGCTCTCCCCTTATTCATCATTTGGTTCACCCATGTAAGTGAAGTTCTGGAGCACCGAGATTTTCATACGAAGATAAATATATTATTTTTCTTAAAGATTTCATTTATTTATTTGAGAGAGAGCGAGAGAGAGCACAGAAAGAGAGCGAGAAGCAGACTCCCCATCGAGCAGGGAGCCTGTTGTGGGGCTGGAACCCAGGACCCTGGGATCATGACCAGAGCCGAAGGCAGAAGCCCAACTGACTGAGCCACTCAGGCACCCCTAAATACGTTATTTTTAATACAGTGGGATTCATATCATGTTATTAGTAACCTGCTTTTCCTCCATCTAATTTTTCTTTTATTCATTCTTTTTTTTTTTTAAGATTTTAATTATTTATTTGATAGAGAGAGACAGTGAGACAGGGAACACAAGCAGGGGGCATGGGAGAGGGAGAAGCAGGCTTCCCGCTGAGCAGGGAGCCCGTTGCGGGGCTCGATCCCAGGACCCTGGGATCATGACCTGAGCGGAAGGAAGATGCTTAACAACTGAGCCACCCAGGCCTCCCTCTTTTACTCATTCTTGTACTGTGTGATATTTAATAATGAGATAATATTTCATCACATAAATATACTACAGTGTGTTTATGCTTAGCCACCTCCAAATGCTTTTACATTGTTTCTTTGGGCCATTATAAAAATACAGTCACGGTCATGTTTATAGTGCTATCTTTTCACACAGCCCCTATTCTTTTCTTAGGGTAGAGTTGGAATTGATAAGTCAGGGTATGCTGTGCACAAGTTTTTATTGTTTTGAACGCATGTTCCCAAATTATGCCACAGAATGTTCACACCACTGACTGGCCATTCCAGAACTTTCTTGCCAACACTGGGCAGGCTTTTTGTTTTCTTGTGTTTCTTCATTTTTTAGAGCAGTTTTAGATTTACAGAAAAATTGGGAAGATCATACAGAGAGCTCTCATATACCCCTCAACCAGTTTCTTCCATTGTTAATATATTAGTATGATACATTTGTTATAATTAATGAACCAATATGGATACATTATTATTAACTAAAGCTTATAGTTTATTGAGAATTCTTTAGTTTTTTGCAGTAAAATTGTATTATTTATTATGGGTTGCGTTATACATTGGTAAAGTTTGGGGGTAGTGCAACATGATAATACACAGGAAAAGCCATAAAAGTACCAGACCCAGGAATTTTTCCCAATAGACTTATTTAATAATGATTTTTAAAATTCCAAATGCATGTAAGATATTCTCTACTATGATATAATAGAACAAAGTAGAAATAGCTGAAATGATCAACATTAGAACAATTTAAAAATGTGTGGTACATCAATATGATAGAATACTTTGAATTCATGACAAAAGCTTAAATCCAGAGACATGTAGAAATTAGAAAATATTCATGATAAAATGAACAATAGAATACAAAATAGCAAGCATACCATGTTTGTGACTTTAAATAATTTGTGTGAATGTGCAATCGCTGTGCTAGAGTGATGGATTATAGAGGATTTTTAAGTTTAAAAAATGTATTTGCTGTTACATATTCCTTTTTTTTCCTTTTCTACAGCATTTATAAGTTTGTTATGGTTTTCCAATTTGATTTCAAAATGCTTTCTTTTTATCTCTTTTAAAGTAGATATCACAGTAGATATGTATACATTTAAGAAATCAATTTATCTTGGTCTTTTTTTTTTTTTTGAAATTGAGATGTAATCGACATACAGCATTTGGAGGTTAAAGGTGTACAATGTGTCGCTTTGATACATTTATATATTATCAGGATTTCTTTAGTTTTTACCCAATGTCCTTTCTCCGTTTCAGGATCCCATCAAAGATACCACATTACATATAGTTGTCATGTCTCTTTAGGCTCCTCTTGGCTATGACAGCGTCCCAGACTTTCCTTGTTTTTGATGACCTTGACAGTTTTTGAGGAATACTGGTAAAGAATTTTGTAGGATACCTCTCTATGGGAACATTTCTAATTTTTTTTTATGATTAGACTGCGGTTATGGTTTTTGAGAAGGTAAAGTGCCATTTCATCACATCATATTAAGGGTGCAGACTATTGTCAGAATTTACGACTTTTGATATTGGCCTTACTCACCAGCTGAGGTAGTGTCTGTCAGGTTTATTCACTGTGATTATTCTTCCCCTACTCCCTTTCCACAGTGTACTTTTGGAAGAATGTTACCATGAGTAACCCACACTTAAGGTGTGGGGATTTATGCTCCACCCTCTTCAGTTATTTACATAAATTATTTGAAATTCTTTTGCACAGGAAATTTGTCTCTTCTCTCTCATTTATTAATTTACTGAGCCATTTATTCATAGCAGTGTAGACTCAGATATTTATTTTACACTTTGGGTTATAATTCAATATTAGTTTATTTTGTTACTCAAATTTTCCAACTTTATCCTTTGGGAGCCCTTTCAATTGGCTCCTGTGTCCCTTTGACATAGCCCCATAAATATGGGGTTTGTTTTTTGCCTATTTAATTTGCAAAAAAAAGGATTTTTTTTTTTGCCTATTTAATTTGCCTAAAAAGGATTATCACATTTTAATTTCTATTTCTTTAACTAATTGTGGACCTGAATTTTGTTAAGTTTTTTGGTCTTTTCTGTTCTTTTGTGATTTGCCTACTTGCCTACCTTTTCATTGAAATGTTTTGTGTATACTTTTTACCAATTTATTTTGTCTACTTTCACATGTCTTTAAAATTTTGAACTTTAAAATTTTTATGAAGTTCAGTATTTTCCAAAATGTTTTACTCAGAGCATACCTCTGTGACATTCTCCTCATCCCCAAAACAGTTTTTTGGTCAAATATGTTTAGAAAATGCTTTATGCTTTAAAAATTTTCTTTATCTTTCTTAGACAGTCATGGTATACATTAACCTTTTAAAGATGCTGAGAGCACTTATAATAAAGAATCACATTTTTACTTTTGTTTTAGGGTTCCCTGCAATGATTTGACAATGGTAAGTGTTTCAATGAACATCTAGTAAGATCTCTCAGAACTAGGGCTCCTTAGAACATACATGTGTAGATGGGGCACCATGGACGCTTCTAATCTTCTCCTAAGGGTTCTGACTTCAGTATTATGTATAGACAAATCTTTCCAGCCCAAAGGTTAGATAGAATTCCTTTACCTATTCTTCCAGTTCTTTTTTTTTTTTTTTAAGATTTTTATTTATTTGTCAGAGAGAGAGCACAAGCAGGGGGAGCAGCAGAGGGAGAGGGAGAAGCAGGCTCCTCACTGAGCAAGGAGCCCGATGCGGGGCTCGATCCCAGGACCATGGGATCATGACCTGAGCGGAAGGCAGACGCTTAACGACTGAGCCACCCAGGTGTCCCTATTCTTCTAGTTCTTATCTTTTCTTTTCCATTTACCTCTTTAATCTACTAGGAATTCATATTGTGTATTTACTTTTTCCAAGTTGCTAATGATCATCCCAGCTTCATTATTGGACTATCTTCTTTTCCCTGATGATTTGACAGGTTACCATGATTATATATATATTAGATCTTACTAATACTTGGGTTTGTGACTATTCTGGACTTAAAAAAATCATATTTCTTTGATCTGTCTTTTCTTGTACTACGCTACACTACACTATTTCTATACTACACTATTTCTTATATTACACTATTTCCTTGATCTGATTTTTTCTTATACTACACTTTCCTTATACTACACTAGTATTGTAGCTTTTCAACACATTTATAGTATAATAAAACTTGAAATTAAAGAATCATTGACATCTTTGCACTATTAGATTTTCTAACCCAAATATTCTGTACTTACAATGGTCTCTGGAATAATCCACCAGACCTTATACACCTAATCTACTGCAACTGCAGCTCTTCTACCCTCCCCTCCAATGTCCGGCCTATTCTTGCCTCAGGGAGTTGTTACTTGCTACTCCCTCTGCATGAGGCTCTCTCCCACCGCTCACGCACAGGGCTCGCGCCTCACCTTTGTCAGAGTCTGTGTTCAAGTGTTCCCTTCTCAGCCCGCTATTTAAAATAGTCCTACCACCCCACCCTGGCGCTCTTATCCCACTTCACTGGTTTATTTATTGATTTATTCTTAAGATTTTATTTATTTATTTGACAGAGAGAGACACAGTGAGAGAGGAAACACAAGCAGGGGGAGTGGGAGAGGGAGAAGCAGGCTCCCCACTGAGCAGGGAGCTCGATGCGGGGCTCGATCCCAGGACCCTGGGATCATGACCTGAGCCGAAGGCAGACGCTTAACGACTGAGCCACCCAGGTGCCCCTGTTTTATTTTTTTCCCAAGCACTTTTTCACTCTTTGACAGAATCAGTCTTTCATTAATTTGTTTATTGCCTATCTTACCCTTACTAGTATGTACACTCCATAAGAGTAGAGAATTTTGTCTCCTTTGTTCTCCAGTGACTCTTTATTGGCTGAAATAGTGCCTGGCACATAGTAGGTGCTTAATAAATATTAGTAGAATGAATGAATGCCCATCTGGCTATTTCTCAGGTCTAATGTCCCTTAGTAAATCTTTGCCCATTTTTTGATACTAATGATTTTTGTTGTTGATATTGTAAGAGTCACTTCCCTTACTATATTTTCTATTAAATGGTTATTGCTAATACATAAGATGACTTTTGATAAGTGTATTTTAATGTTGTAACTGATCACCTTACTGTTCTAGCTTACTGCTTCTACTGGTTTCTTAGATGATTCCCTTCCCTCCCTCAGAGGAGGCAATTCTGTAATCCACAAAAATTATATCAGTCTTTTTTTGTCATTGCATTGACTAGAATTTTTATGGTAATCTTTAACAGTAAAGGATAATGAGCATTCTCACCCTATCTCTAACTTAACGGGATGTCTCTAGTATTTAACAAAAAAAGTATGTGAATTGATGATTTGAAATATTCTACATCATGAGGAATTATCATTCTATTCCTATTTTGCTCAGAGTTTTTAAAAACTAGTAACTGATATTGAATTTATTTGGCATCTATCTCTATGACATTTTTAAACTTATTTTTAAATGATAAATGTAATGCCTTTGTGGTAAGGAATAAAGTAAAGAGTTTGAGTAATCTCTCTTTCCCCACCACAGTTTCAACCACTAGAAATAACTATTTTTCATAATCTTGTGCGTTTTTCCAGACTCCTCTATGCATATATAAACTTACACATGCATGGTACATCGGAATTTTTTTTTCAATGAGAATATAGGGTATATATTATTCTAAACTTGCTTTTGTCTTTTAAAATAGTGGACATCTTTTCATATCAGTACGTCTACCTCTTACTTTAGATGGCTGCACACTATTTCACTGCATGGTGATTATTTAGCCAGTCCTCCATTAGTGAGGTGACCAGGTTTTTACTTTTTCTATTACAAATCTTGCTGCAATGAATATACTTGTACCTACATTTCTATGCACTTAAACAAGTATTTCTTTTTTGTTTTTAAGATTTTGTTTATTTATTTGAGAGAGTGAGAGGGAGAAGCAGACTCCCCGCTGAGCAAAGAGCCCAACAGGGGGCTCGATCCCAGGACCCTAAGATCATGACCTGAGCTGAAGGCAGACGCTTAACTGACTGAGCCACCCAGGCACCCCTAAACAAATATTTCTAATGTATTTTTTATCCTATTACTCAGGTGAGTCCTTTGAAGGAAATATTTTATATTCTTAGTTCCTAAGATAGTTTGTGGAATTCAATTAAATAATATATTTAAAATGATAGTTCCCTAAAATCCTGTTTCACCATGTAAAAATAATAACATGATTACTAGGATAAATAATAAATAGCCTTGCAGTATTTATATTACATTTTTAAAATGAACACTTAACCACTGTTGAGCCATTATTTTTCTCCACTGGAGTAACATAAATTAAAGAAATCAAACCTCCAACTGTCCCATCTTGACTAAAGCAATGAAATTCACATTTGTTTAACAACTTCATTAGCCAAAATGGGCCCTTGCCTTCTGGATTAGCATTATTTTTATTCTCCAGCCATTTTGTATATTTTTCAAGTATACAAACCCCAGGGCTAATCATTTTTTGCATATATCATGCTTTGTAGAAACCAACTTCAGTTTCCTCTAAGAAGGTAAAACAAGAATGAAGGAGCAAACTCAAGTTTGTCATTGCAAACCTCTGTCGTCGTGTTTTAGGGAGAGATATGAAAAACCCTTTAGAGACTGCACTTGTGAACAGCAGTACTTGTTCCTTGGGTTCGTAGTAGAAAGATTCTACTTCGAATTGAATAAAAGAGAGGAAAAGCTGATAAACATTTCAGTGGGCTGATTTTAATCAGGGCAAGAGAAGTTCGTTTTTCTTGCAAGGCTCTTTAAATCATTGCGTCTCTCCCTGTTGACTATGGTGTCTTGCACTGGTCACGAACTTCTGCCCTGTGTCCCCCAGCTCTATAATTTCGAATCAGAGGAGTGAGATCCTCATCTGCAGAATCTCTCCCAGTTATGAGTCACTCACCTGCTAATCCCCTTGTAAACTGTAGCATAAGAACCTTCACCCAGCTTCTCCAAGTTCAAGTAAGATGAGGCTGCCCCAAAAGGGAGGCTCTTCCTCTGCTTGAGCAGAATGGGGAGGGGCGAGAGGTGGGAGAGAAAGAAAGAGCACTTTTTTTTAAGGTTGACTTTTTCCCCCCAGAGAAATTAGACAGCATTGCCAGAGTATACTTGGAAAGGCCCTCTCCATAACTGCCCTAAAGGGAGGGCCAACCTCCCTAGACAAGCACATATTACATTTTTCTTCACCCACATCAGATGTTCACTCACCCACTGAAAACCCTGCCTCAGATCTTCTTCCTGAAAAGAATCACTGTTACTCTGTGGCCTTTTACTCTTGAACTTCTGGGCACGGACAGCCTGAAGTCCCCTGGGGTGAAATGAAGTCATGGAACATGATGCTTCTTTTAGGTCTGTCAGCTAGAGAAAAAGGAAAGTACAGGAATAAAATATATGCAAAGTCAAGACTCAGTGGCTGGCAGAAACTATTTTTTTCTTCATTTGTCTGATTGTCACTCTTCAGATGTTTTCTAAGCCTCCTACACCCCAAAAAGCAAGTCCTTTCCTGAAAGCCATATCCTTAAAAAAGACATGATGATATCAACTGCAGAAAATCTACATTCTTTCTTCACTTAAAAATATGTCCTAAACACTTCGGGTAGCCTAAATCTCTTTGATGGATGGTTTCCAATTTTTCTCTGTTTAACTCAGCCTTTTTTTTTTTTTCTCATGTCCTCTTAATTTATCTTTTTTGGGGAATGATTTTCTCATATGTCATTGCTAACAATCACAAGCTAATCATCAAGATTTTGAATCCATAGCATACCAATACTGCAGCTTGCTTTCATGAGGCTCAGCTCTGTCATTTAGTACTTCGGAGATTACAAGAGAATAACTCTTTCTCAACTTTAAGTCAACTGAGTGTTGTGCAGCCCAAAGCACACGATTGTTTTTCCCTTTTGGTTTACAAGAACATCCACAAATTTGATAACAACAGCCATAAATTCTCTGTGACTTTAATAGGATTTTCCTTTTATTGGTTTAGACCTACCGCAGAAAAATCCGACCCTGCTTCAGAAAGGGAGTCTCTGAACTCCTTAGTTTATCAACAGAGGAAGATGTTCCTCCTGCGAGACAAATACCTCGGTCGCAGCCTCCGCCGGCTCGGGCTCAGGCACTGTCCTCTGGCAGCTGTGTGCATCGTCTCCCTCCCAACAGCGATGGCAGCGCCATCCAGGCTGGAGAGTCTTCGTACACAGCTCTTGACCCATAATCTTCTAGGTTCAAGGAGAAAACCCGCACTTGAACCTCTCCCCTCTGCCTCTCCTGTTCTTGTTCGCAACCTTTCTGCCAGAGGTCAGCAGGGATCGAGCTTTCGTATGACTCACATGAGGGCTCTGAGTGGAGCAGCCTCATGACTTCAGCAGTTTTTCCTGATCAGTGCGAGAAATCACATCAGAAAGGTGGCCGCCTGCATTCTTCTGTGCACAACTGAAAACAGGACAGCTGATTTTGGCTGGAATCAATTTTGGCACAAAGTTCTTCTTCCAGACGCAAGTTAGTGCTCTTACTGTACACAGCTTTGATGAATTTCCATTGCTTATCCGTGTGTAAATGATCATGATATTTATTAGGCTTCCCAGGCGCTAAAGTGGACGGCTTGAGGAGTATTTTCTCCCTGCCTTTCATCTGGAAGCATTTTGCTTCTCAGACTTTAAATTTGCAAGCTAGCCAACTTTTAGTAAAGAAACCACAGAATCATAGAATAGGAAGATGCCTTCAAGCAATAGTGTACGGTATCTAATAGTCCCAGAGGGGTAGTCATTCATTCATTGATTCAAAAACGATCTAGTGAGCACCAGTGTTATTTTTACCATACAGGTAATGATGTTACCCAATGGTGAGGAGAGGAGAGTTTGCCTGAAATATCTTCTTCTCTCCCTCTCTTCTTCCCACTCCCCCGTCCCTTCCTGCCACATAAATGTAATTAATGGTTACCGTTTTAAGCATGACATGTCAAGGAACTAGCTTGAGCTACTTTGTAGTCTTTGTGCAGAACTTTTTCTCTCATACACTCCTAATATTATGGCCACTATAACGTACTAATCAGAGTGAGACAGAATGTAAAACACACACACACACGATATCAGCATCATTAAGGGAAAAAATTAATCATGTCAATTACTACAACAATATTTATGTGTGTTTGATATCTGAACCTCAGTAGTTAAAAAAAAGCCCTTTCAGAGAATTTAATGATGAACATGTATTGAAGTTTTGTTTCAAAATTGCCATAAGAGATGTAAAACAGACCAATTTAAAGATTCACTTAAATTAGAGACAATTTTTTTCAAGATTTTATTTATTTGACAGAGAGAGTGAGAGAGCACAAGCATGGGGAGGGGCAGGCAGAAGGAGAAGCAGACATCCCACTGAGCAGGAAGCCGGATGTGGGGCTCGATCCCAGGACCCTGAGATCATGACCTGAGCCGAAGGCAGACGCTTAACCGACTGAGCCACCCAGGCGTCC